TATAGACATATAAGTATACATATAGCTATATTATATGTACTCATATTTTAGTACCTACATCATGATAAGAGTATATATATAAGTATGTTGATGTTAAGTGATCACAAAGTCAATTAAAATAGTGGTTGGGGGTGAGATTAATGAGGGGCCGCTTCCTTCCCCGAATATCCGGTTATGAGTCTAGTGGCTTGAGCTTGCACAAATAACAGCTCGTGAGAGGACGGTGTTTGGTTTCCCCATGGTTCCTCCGACGATCAAGTCAGTTGGTGAACTTGAGTAGGAAAATAAAGAACTGCGTAAGTTCTGTAGTGCAGTAGAACAACAACTTAAGGTAGCTTAAATTCAAGAAGAACTAGCCTCCTTTATGTTAGAATAGTACCTCTATTTATATTGATGGTATAAGGGTAGGACCGTCATTGTGGCTGAGCACAGGATGACGATGAAGAAGCATGGGCTGGCGGCTGCGTCAGCACTTTCTTTACTGGTGCAAGCTGGCGACTGGAGGGGAGATCACCTCAGCATTAAATGAGAAACGATTGGAGGCATGACGGTGCCGACATGGCCCAATGAGTCATGAAGACTATCGGGACTAGAGGCATGATGGCGCCTGCCAAGCATTAAATGCGATACTGACATGTTGTCAGTGGGAGAGACTCGAGGTTGAAGTTATCCTCTAACTTGGCCGAGAAGTAACGTCTTTCGAGTCGACCTCGCGAGGCGTCAAATAATTGGTCGAGTAGGCTCGTTTGCAAGTCTTCTTCGACAAGAAGACCAATAAGTACCGCCCTTCGAGTTGTCCTAAGGGGATGTTGACTTGGTGGGTTGGCTAAGTCAAGATCCTTGCTGGTCTTGGCCGCTACTTTAATTGGGGCATTGCATGTAGAAGTACACATGTCCGTTGCTGGCAAAGGGTTGCACTTTGGTATTTGAAAACACCATAACTAAGTATATAATACAATACTTGTTGTGTGTGTATATATACTTGAGTAATTAAATATATACAACTATATACACTTAGGACTACAAAGCTATGACCATTTTTCTCAAAATAAATCACACACACTAAGAAATATATATATAAGTATACATTAATGACCATATCATTGTATAATTATATACAAAAAAATATAATATATATATATCGTCGGGCCGGGCTTGGACCGAGCTTCATCAACACAACTCAGGCCCATGCCCCAAAGCCCAATCAGCCAAGATTTTTTGGGCTTTTCCCGAGCCCGGGCCCGGCCGAGTCCAGGCCGATGCCCAATTGGATACTCCTAACTGTACCCATTTATAAGATTGACAAATCCTTTCCAATTAATAAAATTTGTCAAATTCTAAAAAATAGTTACGTTTTGCATTTTATGGATTAAACATTCAAAAAGCTTTATTGAAACAAACACCAACTATGGAATCTAAAACCCCCAAAAAATGTCACTTTTTGTTCCTAGAATTTGTAATCCACTCCAAAATGAGGGAAAAATTATGAACAGCCCCTACATAGATACGGGTAAAGCATGAAAACTAGAAAGACGTGGATAATATTCGTTTTCTAGGGGATGTCTTACATGTGTTGCATTCTACAAATAGTGGCGGTTATCTTGTTGTGAAAATATACGTTTTTCATATTATTTGTACTGGTTTAGAAATTTATTTGCGTTAATATATTAAGGGTGCGACTGTTTGAAAAAAAAAACAACTTGGAAAGAAGTGGAAGGCACTGTTGTTATCAGTACAAAATTATTTGGGGTAAAAAAATTTCCCATTCTTGTGTTTGTTTCAACAAAAAAGAAAGAAAGAAAGTCTTTCTTACAAATAGAGAAAGAGTTGGAATTTTAAATGTTGACATGATTTTGTATAATGTTTACATTAATTGGCGCATGTCAGCCCTCACCCCCTTGTATAATTTCCTCTAGTGCATGCTATGCTCCTCTGTATAAGATGGTCAAGTGACTCATGGATAAACAAAATATGAAAAGAAAATGGTTTTACTTTTTTCACTTGACCACGAGCAAATGACGAAAAGGCGTGGGAGACTTTTATGTCACCCTAAAGCTTAGATTGCATGCGATTTCAATGACATGTCATTTTCTTTGCATCATGCATTTCATCCTCAGTCTCAACTCATGTCCCATTTTTCTTGCCTAATTAACATGGTTGAGCCCGAATCATGTTCCGAACACCTCCATTGAAAATTGGATTTATATAGTGTCCACTGCCAAAAAAATAGTAGAAATATCATTATTTTAAATTTAAATTGGTGATTGGTTAATGGTTATAAGTGGAAGTAGTAGCAGTAGTCTATCTACAGTTTTTCGAAGTAGTAGTAATCTATCTCAACGACAAATAATTAGCTGTGTATAATAGCATGTAAGGTGCATAAACATTGATAAAAACTATTTCCAAAAGGAGATACTTTAGAAATGATCGCACATGACATATTCCAATGCCAATAACAATTATTTTAGTATAAAAGTATATATAAGTAATAAAGTAATAGATGACAACACATGTCATAGAACACGAATATAAATAATGACATGTAACATCATCCAACTTGAACTCTATTCTTAGCACACTTATTGCTTCTTACTTTGTGCAAAGATGTCACACATTCATTACCTTCTGTTACGATTATTTCACCGACTAATACTAAGTGTACCATAAATTATATACTTCTTGTTTGCTATTTGGCAAAATCTTCATATCTAAAAAATGAGATACACGCGGGGGTGAGTAAACGATCTGTTCGATCAGTTTTGACTATTTTTTATCAAACCAAACTGAACCGAATTAGAGTCAAAACCGAACCGAATCGTATCAAATAGGTTCGATGCTATTCGATCTGGCCTTAGACATGTAACTTTAGATAGTTCTTAGTTAAAAGATGAGACTATTACTCATTCAAATATTTTGCTCATTAATTTCATACCCCCCAAAACAGAGAGAAAACTCGTCAAATCAACGACTTTACAAACTAAAACCAAGTATCTATCAATTAAGATATATACAAATATTAGTATAAATTATTTATTCACATTGAACACGTGTTGGTTTTAGGCAATTATGTTGAGGGTGGTCGCTCCAGTTATTTTCGGCTTCACCGAACATAATCAAAGTTTTTCGAAAACTAAATTGAACAGCCAAAATTCGGTAGCTTTGGTCGGTTTAATCGGGTTTACTTCAACAGTGCTCAGCCCTAGAAGCATGGATCTCGATTGCAATTTACTTAAAAACTCTACTTAAAAGAAATCAAATACTACAAATTTCCATCCTATTTATCATCAGAGATCCCATGTGAAAGTCATATTACTACCTCAAAAACCTGAGCTTCGTTTGGATATCATGGTGTTTTCCTTATTGTGTTTTTGTAAAAAACACCATGGTGTTATGTTTTTCGCTTAAAGTGTTTTCAAAACACCATATTGAGTGTTTTTGTTCAACATTAGTTTAACCTATTACAACATTAATACTAAACATAATATTAATATATTATATATTAATTATAATAAAATATATTATAAATAAAATATTATAATATTTACTTTACATTATAAAATTATTACATGTATTAAATATAAAATAATACTGTATAACGTATTATAATATTATATTGTACTTTAATAAGTTATATTATTTTATAATTATTATTATATTATAATTATTACATATCATTTTATAAAATAATGTATAGTATTAATTATACTATTTTGCGTATATCAATTTGTTATTGTTATATATTATATAATATTATTAAAATAATATTATTTTATTATTAATATATATTATACTATTATTAGTAGAATTAATATATTATTATAATGTTAATATTATTTATTACTACAACATTATTAATAAATTCACCATATTACAAAATTTTAATATTATATAAATATTATAGTTCTAATATAGTTAGAGTTTATTAATAATATCTTCTAATAATTTATGATATAAATCAAACTATTTTATATTATGAATATATTATTTTTACGATTAACATTGTTAGCAGCTAAATTATTTTAATATTAAAAATTATTTTACTTTATTAATATATTAAATTATTTAGTGTATAATATATTAATAATTTTATATTATACTTTAAAAGGCTTCAACTTCTCATCTTTACCTAATTCTTATTAATTATAATTTATCCATATTATGTTCAAATTAATATTAATATATCATAATTCATTTTGGGTATATCAATTTGTTATTGTTATATATTATATAATATTATTAAAATAATATTATTTTATTATTAATATAATATTATACTATTATTAATATAATATAATATTATTAATAATGTTAATATTATTTTATTACTACTATATTATTAATAAATTTATATATTACAAATATTTTAATATTATATAATATACTATAGTTTCTAATATGTTAGAGTTTATTAATAATACTATAATAATTTCTGATATAAATCAATATTATTATATTATGAATATATTATTTTTACGTTATTATATTATTATATAAGACATTTTGATTATTTTATATTTATATTATTTAATAAATATTACTATTATATTAGATTAATTATAATATAATATAGTATAATATAATTAGTTTGTTGATAATAACTATATATTATTTATATTTAACATATTATGTTAGATATTATATTAACATATTCTCAAACTCAAAACCAAAACATCAAACTTAAAACACCTAAAAGGTGTTTCGAAATAAGTGTTGTGTTTTTGATTTGAGGATGATTTAGCTCAAAAAACACTATAGTTTCCAAACGCATGGTGTTTTGTTTTTAACAAAAACACCATGAAAACAAGTAAAACACAATGATATCCAAACAGAACCTATAAGCTGACGTGAAGAGAGGCAAATTCGCTTGAGATGAAAATCCAATGTACTCCGCAAAAGAGGATTCATCTTCGATCACCAACAAATATTTCGACACGCGTCCATTGACCCACCTCTCGACCCTTCCCTCTTCCGGTTAATATTTTCTCTCCTCTCCAATTTCCCCGTGCTTCCCAACACCGCCCTCCCCCTAATTTTCTCTTTCTTCCCCAAAAGCGCAAACAAAACCATAAACCCCTTCCCCAATCCAAAATCGATCAAAAGAAACCATCAAAAGTCAAACGAAAATCATCGTAAAGCCCTAGCCGGGGAAGCCCTAGCTTTTCTAGGGTTCCGCCATGGCTCCTATCCTCAACTACGAGCTTCACGCCCAACGCCTCGTCGAACCCGAACTCTGTAGGTTCCGAAACCCTAATTTCTCTCTCTCTCTAACTACTAACTTCTCTCTCTTTTTTTACAAGCGGTTCAGGCGAGGCTTCAAATGGTGATGGGGTCCGAGACAGCCTCGCCCACACGTCCGAGTACTTGAACTTCTTGAAGTGCTATTTCCACGCTTTCAAGCTCATCCTCACTGAGATCACGACCCCTCAGCTCACAGAAAACGCCGAGCACAAGCTCCGCAACGTCGTCGTCGAGATCCTTAATCGCCTCCCTCACAGCGAGGTTCTTCGCCCCTTCGTCCAGGACCTGCTCAAGCTCTCTCTTCAGGTCCTCACCAACGACAACGAGGACAACGCTCTCATCTCCATCCGCATCATCTTCGACCTCCTTCGCAATTTTCGACCCACAGTTGAGTCTGAAGTCCAGCCTTTCCTCGATTTCGTATGCAATATTTATCACAACTTCAAGAACACCGTTGCCCATTTCTTCAACAACCCGAATGCCGTCGCGGCGCGGGGATGATGAAGATGGAAGGGGATGATGGGTTTGATACGCCAGTGGTGCCGTTCGTCGGGGCTGGGCAGCTGAACCCGAGCACTAGGTCGTTTAAGATTGTGACAGAGAGCCCGCTGGTGGTGATGTTTCTGTTTCAGCTGTATACTAAGCTTGTGCAGACGAATATTCCCTTCTTATTGCCGATGATGGTAGAGGCTATATCGATTCCGGGGCCGGAAAAGGTGGCTCCTCATCTGAAGACACAGTTTGTTGAATTGAAGGGGGCTCAAGTTAAGGTAGGATCTTTTTATTGGAACTTTCACTAGTATAAGGTATCATTTGGGGGCAAACTTCGGTTTGTAGCAAAATTAAGAATTTGGAGTAAAATGGTAATATATTTCAAAATACTTGTAGATTACCAGACATGCAAAGAACATCATTCTTAATGGCAAAGTTTAGGATGGGATAATATAACTTTTAACATTTGAATAGTTACCATGTATGCGACTTTAAAATGTCAGGATCTGTTCTATTGATGTGCAAATGACTAATTTTGTTAGTTCATCTACGGCAAAGTTGGTAAGTGATTATTGATATGTATGGCTAAAAATACTTTATGGTATGGTTGGGAAACTGCAAGAGCAGTATCTTGAAGGGCATTCTATTTAACATTTAAACCTTTTCCCCCTTTAATCTCAGGTCACAAGTTGGTGCTGGGAAATTAATAAGTGGAAGAACTGAAAAACTATGACTCTTAAAGAACGTTTAACATTTGAAACTGGACTGAGATCAAAGGATGCTGAGTCTATCTAGTGAGCAGTAACACAGTGTAATCAATTGCTAATCCATACTAGTTGTTTAAACAATTTAGATATATTTTAAGAATGGGACTGAGTCATTTTCACTATGATTCTAGTGACATCTGGTTGAAGAAATAGCAGATAGTTTTCCTGAAGAAAAAACTTTTGAATAAATGGAGAATCCTGTGACTGTGTATTGGCATACAATGTTAATTTTTATTTCTTTTGATTCAGACTCTTTCGTTCTTGACCTACCTGTTGAAGAGTTATGCTGACTATATAAGACCTCACGAGGAGAACATCTGTAAGAGCATTGTGAATTTGCTGGTTAATTGTCCTGATTCAGTTTCAATTAGGAAGGTTAGAAACAATTACATCTTTACCATATCTTTTATTTATTTATTAATTTATTTATTTAATTTTTCATTATGCAGTACTCAAATTATTTATTGTGTCTTGTTTGCAGGAACTACTAATAGCATTGAAGCATGTCCTGAACACAGACTTTAAACGAGGCCTATTCCCTTTAATCGACACACTTTTAGAGGAGAGGTACTAGATGCTCGATGGGAGTCTACTTTAGTGTTTTTATACACCTGTTAATGCTCATGCAACCAATGTATTAAATATCTAAAATTTCGGAAATATCGGATGACCAAAATCCATATCAGATTGCGGAGATCAGGAATATATCGGGGATATGTAAAAAATATCGGGGTGTCATATTAGATGATGTATATATGTAGCATAACATTGTAATATGTAATCAAAACAGATTTAATGTATTCTAAACATGAGGATTTGCATCATGAATAATGATATATGACGTTTAGAGACATTAGATATAATTAGAGGTCTGTGAGAGAGAGATAGAGATAGAGAGAGAGAGAGAGAGAGAGAGAGAGAGAGAGAGAGAGGAACAGAGGAGATAGAGGAAGACAGAGAGAGAAGGGAGAGAGGAGTTGAGGGAGAGAGGAGAGGGCAAGAGGGGGTCTGAGGAGGAGATGAGAGAGGAGAACTGGAGAAGAGTAAGAGAGGAGAGAGATTCGTATCTGAGATCGCCTAGCGTTTTTGTGCTGGAGTGCCGGAGGAAAATGGAGGAGAAATATGAGATTGACTTGGGATTTAGGGTATTTGGGCTTAGGAATTTATTAAGTTTTCAGGTTTGGTGGGAACCAAAACCTAACTCAAACTCAATAACCCTTCTAATTTAGATATTAGCCAATATCGGCTGATATTTCCTTAATGAAATATCTGGCAATATTTTCAATATATCGGGAAAAGTGGTAAAAATTGAAAAATGATACTTTTTCTATTATGGTGTTCACTCACCCAAGGCACGAGCATTTGCAAAATGATACAATAAGAGTCCTAACAAAATAACCTCAAACCCACTTAAGTGGCCTAAGCCCAGCAGAGGCCTCAACCCCGCCGACTCATCAAGTCGACCTTTTTCCATGCCGACACGAAAGACGGGATCGGTCGACCCTATCGCTGAGGACGACCTACTTAGGACACTCGACCACTCATTGGGCAATTCTCGGAGACGACTTGAGGGACATTCCCTGCTATCGGCTAAGTTAAGGACTCGGCCCAGGCCTCAAGCTTCTCCCCAAGAGCATATGTCAACATTTCAGTCCATATCAGACAAATCTTATCCATATTTTAGCCTAATGGTCTCCATGACTTGTCAGCTGCGTCACGTGCCTCCATGACTTGTCAATCACTTTCCGAAAAATACGGAGACACCCTCTCTTATGCTGAAGTGACTTCCCCTTCAGTCGCCAGCCGACACCTGTAAGCGAGAGATGATTCAGTATGCCCACGTGTCTTCTGCCACGCTCTCAATCATTTTCCAGAAATTACGTAGACACCCTCTCCCATGCGCGGTGACTTCTCCTCCAGTCGCCAGTCAACACATGTAGAGCAAAGGGTGACTCATCTTCCAGCTCACACTTTGTCACCGTCATTTACATAGACGAAGTGACCAATCTGCTATGAACGTCCTCTTTATATACAAATGCTATTCGTCATAGCTGGGAGGAGGAGGTTCGCAATCCAAAATCCCTTACTGCACACATTGCACAAAAATAAGAACACACTTTAACCCCACTCAAGTTCATCAACTGACTTGATCGTTGGAGGTACCACGAGAGAACTCATCCCCGCCCTCTTATGATTCTTCGTGTGTAGATTGCTCGGCCATCCTAATTCCAGAATCAGACATAAAGTTAAAGAAGAAAGCGGCCCCCTTTTCTTTTATAAACACCGTGACTTCCAATTGGCTGTGTGATATTCGACATCAACATTTTCCATAAATATTGTATCGGAAGGACATCAAAACCGATATATCCACTCTGCATGCAACTAAAAACCACCTTTTTCCATATAGGATGTTACTTAGCATATGAACTTCTTGTTCTGCTGTCATTGATGCCACAACAAAAAAAACTTATGGCCTATTTGGTGACACTTTTGTTTGCATGGAGAATTATTAATGTCTATATTAGGCACTTCATCTGTGGTGGTTTAGTTTAGTGTTACTTTGATTAATTGGATTTATCAGGATAAAAATAAATTAGCTCTTAGATCTTTTGATCAAGTACTATGTTTTCAATAGGAATATGAGTCATCCTTTGTTTACGATTACTATTAGAGTAGTAATGTATGATGTTGATATTTTCGTTACTATTTAGGTGGAGGGATCGTCAAAATCGTGATGATTGAGTACTGAGGTGAAGTTTATCCATCTTTATTTAGAGGTTTAAATTGGAAAGCACTCCCTCACTCCATCCTCAATGTGCATCCTTGGTTGTATATCTAGTGACGGGTTTAGTTTGTCACAATAGGGGTTGTAGAACCTGATAATAGAAGATATCCCAGTTATGCAAGGGATACCCACTCTCTTCATTTAGGATATCACTTTCATGAAACTTTTACTTCTTCTATACATAATATTTAGGTTTCCTTTAATTTAATTTGGTAACTGTGTTTCTGTTAACGTTCATAGGTTTCCTCTATATTTGGACTGATATTCCTGTAACTTGTTTTCTCGAAATGAGCCTTATGTTGGAAGCCCTGATTCCATCCCGTTTTCCTTTGATAATTCAATTAAGTAGATCTTTTGTGCCATATGAATATGTTGGAGCCTACCAGTGGGTGAAAATGAATATATTGTCAATTCGTCTTTCTAGTCTTTGTTTAAGGAACTTAACGTTTCATATTTTTGGATGCCACTGCTCATTCTAATACTGATGGTCGAATTGAACTTTTCGATTCTGGTCATTTGTTGGTGGCCGAGGAAACTAGACTGTTGGTACATCGGTATGATTTATTAAAGTCAAAGATATTCTTTGTGTCCAGCAGATCTATTGTCCATTTAATTTGAGTAAGAAGCTAATTCTTTATATCTTGATTCTTAATTATCTTGAAAATGGATACTATTCCTTCCTATCTGTCTTTCTGTCAATCTCCATTGCTTTTAGTTTTTTGTCATCATTCTACCTGTCATCTGTAGATACTGCAGCACATATATGCATACATCTGATCACATATACATGCTTCTGTGTGTATGTGTGAATGTTTATCTACCATTCTCTAATAGTACCTATCATTCTCTGATAGTACACTTCCTGGGATGTGTTTTCAGTTCCTATGGCATTTTTTTCTCTCGTGCCACTATGATCATATACACATGTATATGTACGGATACAGACGTGTACATCTAGATACAGATGTTTAGATTTATGTATGAACTGGGATGCTGTACTATTAAGATTTTAGTAATTGTACTAACTAAACTGCATTTTTTTCTTTTTTCTTATCAAGGGTTCTGATTGGGACTGGCCGAGTTTGTATTGAGACACTCAGGCCATTAGCTTACAGCCTTCTTGCGGAGATAGTGCATTATGTCCGGAATGAGCTTTCGATTTCTCAGGTTTGTCTTGGCATATTGCATCATTATTTATTCTGTTTGATATGACAAATGCTAGATACTTGGAAACTTGAAAAGTAGTAATAAAAAAAGCTTAACAGTGTGCCTATAGGGGGGAAACAATTAGAGAACCTTCTGTTGAGCTGCTAAGATAAAAAATATGTAGCCAATATCCTCGGAAGAAAATCAAGTCCAGGCATAGAAAAGGATCATTTGTATACAAAGATATTTGTTGGCACCAACTTCAGCTAGTTTATCTGGCCAAAGATTGGAATAGGAAATTATCAATCACTAACTGGAGGGCTTACAACTATTTTTGAAAATTATGGAATTACTTCTTAATGGATATAGGACATGGCTGTCAATTATTGTGTGTCTGGAATTGCCTTTCGACTTCGGAATCACATTGTCACCTTTTAAAAATTGTCACCTTGATTTTCTTTTTGTAATGCGAAAATACCTAGTGTCAAATATGGACATAGCCAAATCATCATAGTTAGTTCAACAAAATCAGCATAGGTCTTTGCTTAAGGTCGCTGCACCTTTAAGGGTTCTCATGTAAGATTATGTTTAACTGTGTCCTTGGAGTTTTTTTTGAAGTGGCCTCAATGTGTTCGAGTTCCGTGTAGTTTTGATGGGCTTCCCAGCCTTCCTCAACAAATCTCATATTTGATTGCTAACTCAAAAGAAGTCTAGTCCCTGAGGTATGCCTTAGTGATAAGGGTGAGGTTGGTTTGGTTGCACAATGCTTCTTCAAAGGACCATATGTATCAGATACTGGAAGGGATACTGGTTGTGGTTGGTTACTCCTACAATGTTTCTGTAGAATTTCTAGTCTATCCTAGATATTAGATATTTTTCCCAGATTGATAAGTGAACAGTCTGTTGTATGCATGATAGTTTCACAATTTCGTTTGGTTTTATAGGTGGATTTATAATAATTTGTCCATTTTCTTAATGAAGAATTATGATTTCCGTTGATTTTTATCACCTGAAGATTTTATAGTTATTATGTTTTCACAATCATTGTGGCCTTACAATTTCAATGTTACAAGACAAAAACAGTAACTCATGCATGCATATAATTTCTCACTGTCTTATACATGATGTGATCGTTCCTAGATTTTCAGGATATGCTGCAATCACAAACATCATCATGTGTAGTTTATACCTGTGGTCCTGTATGCAACATGAGGATTGGAATTCCTAACTCCAAGTTCTGGATGCGATCTTCCCCCCAAGAAACACCTGATAGTGTCGGTAGTCCAAGTTGACATAGAGCAATCACATAAGGCATTCCATAAGTAAACGAGGAATAGCCTCTTCCTCTTGATAAGGATGAACATGATTTAGTTTGATCTGATATTGTTTAATTTCTTTCACCGAGTCTTCTTAGTTTTCTTTGCTTTTCAACCTTTCTTTAGTCTTCACTTGTTGCATTTGTTTTTTAGTGACCGCTTTAAATCTACTTTTTTCTATTGACATCTCGATCCTTTTGGTATTTAAATATATAATATTAGACACAAACGATTATTATGGAAAAATTATATTTATTGACTGGGGGTTTGTAGTAATATGAGCCGCCAGCAACACATATTTAAGTATTCTAGAAGAGTTGATTTGATCAATCCCATCATTCATCCTATTAACATCATTTTATTTACATTTCCGACAAACCCCTCATCCATATTACCTACCAAAAGAAACTTATGGGATTTGAATGCTTTTGCATCAGAAGCATATTTGCATGGGTTCTTTTCTTGGGCAGAGCACCTATTAGTAGATCTGGTATGGTCTAGCACGTGTGTGTGAAAATTGTGCGGTACAGAACAATAAGTGTACCTTTACTAGTGGTTGAAATAGACTGAAGCCTGGCATCGGTTTGTAGTTGGCCCTGAAATGATCGGTGTATGGTGCGTTCCTTTTGCCATTTGTTTGTAATAGTGTTTGTGTATTAAAATTGGATAACTGGAAATTTTAGTCAGTTAAGGAATTTTGCAACAAAAACTTTTCGCTCATTTTATGATATCATGAGATTTAGAGCAACTGAGCAAGTACATTTGAGCATCCTTGGAGTTTTAATTTGAAATATCTTGTTCAACATTGTTGTATTTTGGAATCTATACATTGGTTTTTGAATTTTTAATGGAAAATAGGTTTATGTTAGTGTTAATTGCGCTTTAATACCTTACCATAAAGTTTCACTCATTTTCAATCCTTAAAAGTTGGGCACCCCAAGTTTCACCAACTTATATTGTAGCCTCCCCTTACATGACACTAAATTTCTGCTTAAAAGGCATCGTGTGATTATGACATGATCTTTATTGGTCTTTTATGTCCCTAAATCGAACCCCCTTGCGCCCCATGCTCACCCAGCCAAAAGATTCATCTTACATTTGTTTAACCCAAAGCCTATTTACAACAAAACCCTAATTTATTTAATCACTTGTCCCAAATGCAAAGTGCTACTTTTGGCAAGGAAAAAAAGGAACTTTTCCCTTCACTTTGCATCATGATTGTGAGTTGTTGTTTTCCCCCTCCATTTTACAATGAAGACAATGTTCTTTTCAAGTACATTCTTAAAGACATACCCACATTACCACATATTCAACATAAAAGAAACCATACTTTTGGGATTTGGGAAGAAAATCTAATTTGTGATCAAGATGATATGGATGTATTTTACCCCCTACCCATTAGGGTGGTAATTGAGACTTAAAAACTTTGGATGCGTCAGTTGGGTAAATTTAAACTTCAGGGTATCAAAGTTAAAAATGGTGAAACTTTAGAGGGTATCAAAGTGCAATTGACACTTTAGGTTATCTTCAGTTTACCTAAAACCCATCAATATCAGTTTCTGGTGCTGTGGTTATATTCATGGTGCTATAACAATCAGGCGGTCCTGTGTTCAAACTTCAAACTCATCACTGGTGTTTTGAAATATGTCCACCCCAATCTATTTCCCCCTTTCCAAGCAAGTTTTTACTTAATGTGAGGAGTTTGGTAAGGGTTCAAGGCCTGCTTAACGTTGAGAATACCTGAATCCAACAACTTAAGCTTTTGTGTAATGTGGTTGTCTGACAGGTTAAGAGAGTTGCATTTGACCTGTAGCTTGGAAATGTTAAATTAAAAATTTGTTCTCAAATGAGACATCGAACCACATTGCTGAGGCTGGATATTGGTTCTAACAATTCATCAAAATAATGCTATTTGATCTGTTCACTACTTTTTCCAACCAAAAACACTGAAGTTTTTGATTTATCCGTGTAGTGTAGATCCTGCAGCCTTTTGTGTTTGTGCTTGTCTCTCAATGTATGCAAATTGAGGGAAAAATGTCTTTTATTTCCTGTAGCAATTAGCATTTACTGATGGATGAAGATGGGAAGGCTGAAGTGGAGCTAAATGTAAGAGAAGGATATGTCTAGCAAATTGTAGAAGTTTTCAAGAATGTTCTTTTATTGCTTTTGTTTTATGAATATTGGATCAGCAATTCATCAGCATCCTCTAAGCATCCTCTAAGCTTCTGAAGCTATGCATATGATTCTTTCTTACACTAATGATCCCTTTTTGTTAACCAGTTGTCACGGATTATCTACTTGTTTTCGAGAAACATGCATGATTCATCCTTGACTCTTGTTATTCACACAACTTGTGCTCGATTGATGCTAAACCTGGTATGAATTCTTGGCCTCTCCTTGGACGGTTGCCATATGTTTTAAAACTTATTTAGTGCATGCATGCAAGCCTAAGTATTTAAATGTTGTATGAAGCGTGTTAAGATAAATATTTAAAATCCTACCGTTCTTATTGCTCATTATTTGTTTATCTGTCGATTCTTTTTGGTGGCCTTAGGTGGAGCCAATATATGAGAAAGGTGCTGACCAATCAAATATGGATGAATCAAGAATTTTACTGGTAAAACTGTCAAGAGTCTATGTTTGTGAACTTGGATTTAGCTGTCAGCGTGTGCCAACCTAACAATGCATGATTAGATGATTTATCACAATGAACAAATTGCTTCTTGTTTCTGATTGCCAGGGGCGCATATTGGATGCTTTTGTGGGGAAATTTAGTACGTTCAAGCGAATAGTTCCTCAGGTACACTCCTTGGGTATTTATACATCGAGCATAGAATATTTGAGATCTTTTAAAATTACTATTCCTTAATATTGTTTTGGCATTGGATTTTTGCATATTTTTCTCTATAATGTTGTTGTAAGGCTACTGAGTTAGAAATAATCTAGGTTACCGGGACACTTCATTTGGGCTCCTATATTCATGTCCGACACTTCTCGTATCAATGTCTATGTCCGACACTCCTTGTATAAGTGTTTGTGTTTCGACACTTCTTGAATATATATATATATATATATATATATATATATATATATATATATATATATATATATATATATGAGAGGAGAGAGAGATGAGAGAAGAGAGAGATTAAATGGGTATCATTGATTTCCTTCTTGACACCTATGTTGTGGCCACAATCCCCACCATCCTCATAAAGTAGGAGAGAGAGTGTGAGTTGGTGGGGATTTTGTGCCTCTTTATGATGATGGTGGGATTGTGCCATAATAGGCGATAAGGAGGGAATCCCCTCCTATGACAAGGATACCCATTAATCCATATATATATATATATATATATATATAATATATATTATATATATATATAATATATATATATAAATTATATATAATATATATAGCAATTCTTATGTCAACTTAAGTGGATGGTCTACCAAAGTTTCTATGCCACTCATGTTTTCTAGGGATGCCTTGCATGATATGAAGGGATCCTTGCATGATATGAAGAGTCTTTTTATATATATAAATGAGTGGATAGAAACTTTGGTGGACAAGAGGCTTGTTGCCATTAAGTTGACATAAGATCATCTCTCTCCTCTCTCTCTTCTCTATATATATATTATATAATATTATATATATATATATATATTATTATATATTATATAGTAAGACTCCTATAAAACTAAGTTGATGTCCACCAAACTTCCTAAGCACTGCATGTTATTAATATAAAAAATATTTTCATATCATGCAAGGATCCCTAGGCAATATGAGTGGCTAAAAAGTTTGGTAGATAACTTTTTGCTATCCACTTAAGTTGACACAAGTTTTGCTCTTTCTCTCTCTATATATATACAAATTTATTCAGACGTGTACTCAATTATGATACATGTTTTAGGTTAAAACACTGGTTATACACTTCTTGGACGTATAGCTTACACTTGACCCTCAAATTTCTGAAACCTATTTAGCTTAAGTCGGGTTTGTTTCAGCCCATACCCAGTTTGTTAGAATGATTTTAAAGGATCGTTTGGATATCTAATCTAATAAATAAAAGAAACATAAATATATTATAGGGATTTTTAGTTCTCATAACATGTGAATGTAAAAAACAATATCGATCTCATATAAATTATTAATTTCCCATATGTATATGTAGATGTGTCCATGTATCCTATCTTTTACGAATTTGCCATGTCCTGTATCTGCACCTATATCTCTGTCCACACCTGCAATCGCACCCATGCAATATAGGATATAATGTTTCCTACACGGCCTTTCCTCACTGTTCAGACATAAATACCATGTAAGATATAAAATCATTTCTAGCTGCCTTCGCAAACATCCATAGGCATAAATATACTGTTTGTTAAAAAATGTTATTCAGATTACTAATTTTTTCTTTTGAGCTGAAACAGCTAGTGGAAGAAGGAGAAGAAGGAAGAGACCGATCCGTTTTGAGGTTGAAATTAGAGGTTCCTATACAGGTCAAAATCATCTCTTATATTTTATAAACAATTCTTCTATATATTGCATTTTGCAATTTGGCTGCATTTTTTTTATTTTTACTCATGACAATTTTAGAAAAGAAACATGAATGGTCTTTCTATCTTGTTTGAAAAATATTACTTATTCTTTTCTTTTGCATTTTCTTTTTGAGATATTTGAATGACCAATTATTATTTCTGATAAAAAAATATATCATCTGCGTATCTGTGACATCAATGTTTGTCTGACTTTTCTCATCTGGCACAAACAACATAATCTGAAAGTTGAGCTATGTTGAACGAAGTTCTTCCTGTTGACTCTGCATTCTGATCCATCTTCACCTAATGGGTTGTGTGTTTTTTATTTTTATTTTTGCCATTTTCAAGCTATAGTAGTTATAATCTTAGATAAGTAAAAGCTATGCTCACATTTATGTCTTTTTATCTAACATCATGAAGTACCAAAGGTTCTGAATTTATTTAACATCATGAAGTACAAAACATCATGAAGTACCAAAGATTCTGAAGTTACAAAGAATTGATGGTAGTTCTGAAATTTGTAACTAGAGATTCTTTGCCACCCTTTCATAACTCAAGAAGGTAGATGTGACCATAATACTTGTCTAGACCTCTATGTCACTCCAAAGAGCTTTTTTTTTGGGGTCAGGGGACTAGAAATATTCCTGAATTTAATCAACATAATAACTTATCTTGCATACTTCATTTGATATCTCTTTCTTTTGCTTCAACTCTTTTTAACCCCTAAACCACTTTTCCCCTGTTTTTTTGGTCTTGTTGGTTGTATTGATCGGAAAATACTTTTTTTTCCTGCAGGCTGTTCTCAATTTGCAGCCGCCACTGGAGTATTCTAAAGAAGTCAATGACTATAAAAATCTTATTAAAACTTTGGTTATGGGTAATATGATCTCATTTCTTTATCTAGTCCTCAATGTCTTATGCATGTATGACTAATAACCTTATATCTATGAATTTCGTACTGGAATTTTTATCTGGTTTGGCTAAATCTTAGTTCCCTTTGTTTTATTTTTTCTTTCTTTCTTATTGTGCACCAATAACCAATATTTCTTTTGTTCCTATCGAATAATATTCATTAATTGCTTCCATGGGTCATGGTTAGCATACTGGTTAATAGGTGCATCAAAGTTCACCAATAATCCTTCACAATTCAAGAGCAGGCCTCTTGTATCCATTTCAAAATTGAAAAGAGATGATCTACTAACTTATTTACTAATCAATTTACTGGAAGAGCAGCTCCCATTTAAAGTAATTACAAGTAGTTCAACTAGCTGCCCTAAACAGAAAAAGAATTGGCTTTGGAAAACCTTACGAAACCTATACCCTAGCGGAGTAAACCCAATAACCACACAGAAAGTTACTTTCTTTGAATATCTAAAGGAGCGCTCCCTTTGTTTTATTGTACCACGTGCCAATTTGCCATGGATTACCATTATAAAGGATCTCGATGTTCCTTGCTTGTTTCTTGGTACATCTGACGATTTGAAGGCATAAGGAAATATTACATAATCTCACCATAGTGGCATTCATATATTCTTTTTCAATAAATTGCTAGAAATAAGGTAAGTTCCCTTTGCCTTGGAAAATCGGACGTTGCACCATCAGCAGAATTGTTCATCATCTGTAGATAAAGCTGAAGCAACATACCATACTGCCATGTTTAAATATAATTAAGATGACTTTTCATTAGAGTTGGGGTAGGTCAAAACTCTGGTAGAGAAACGGTGGATGTTAAGATCCATTGGGGAAAATGATAGAACTAGGATTGGATGAGCTTGATATTTTTTTCAACTTTAATGTGAATTGGTTAGAAATTTTAAAACGCAATATGGTGTGCACGCATGCGCATCCGCGTGCATGGGCGCGTGCGCGTGTGATACACCAAACATATAACTACTTGATTCAATGGCCGTCCTGTATGATGCAGATGTAATGACAGTCATCGAAATGTATTGCAGGAATGAAGACCATAATTTGGAGCATCACCAATGCTCATCTACCACGTTCGCAGGTTCTCATCTGTTACTTCCCTCAGCCATTGAACAACAGTATTTCTTCTGATGTCTCATTTCTGATTTAGGTTTCACCATCACCACATGGGGCACATCAACAGGTACAAGCTTCGCCATCGTCCAGTGCTCCACACCTTCAAGTGTTTAAGGGATTGAAGGAAGATGAGGTATTTCAATTATCTTTTTCTTCATGGCTATCATATATGTGTTGCAATATGCTTGATAGGCTGACAACATATTTGGTAGGTCCGAAAAGCATCGGGTGTACTAAAGAGTGGGGTTCACTGCTTAGCATTGTTCAAAGAAAAGGATGAAGAGAGGGAAATGTTGCAATGTTTTTCACAGATTTTAGCTATAATGGAACCTCGGGACCTTATGGACATGTTTTCATTATGTATGCCAGAACTCTTCGAGTGCATGACTACCAACACTCAATTACTTCATATTTTTTCAACCCTTTTGCAACTGCCTAAGGTCCTACGGCCCTTCACTGATGTTCTAGTAAATTTTCTAGTCAGTAATAAACTCGATACACTGAAGCATCCAGACACTCCTGCAGCAAAACTTGTTCTGCAACTATTCAGGTTCTTATTTGTTGCTGTTGCTAAGGCTCCTACAGAATGTGAGCGCATACTGCAGCCTCACATACCTGTGATAATGGACGTGTGTATGAAGAATGCAACTGAAGTGGAGAAGCCTCTTGGTTATATGCATCTTCTTCGAAGTATGTTTCGATCATTGAATGGAGGGAAGTTTGACACGTTGTTGAGGGATCTAATACCTTCATTGCAGCCTTGTTTGAATATGTTGCTAGCCATGATTGAGGGGCCAACTGGAGAGGACATGAGAGACCTTGTGCTGGAGCTTTGCCTGACATTACCAGCCCGTTTAAGTTCTTTGCTTCCTCATCTGCCTCGTCTTATGAAGCCTCTTATTCTCGCTTTAAAGGGAAGCGATGATCTTGTGAGTTTAGGACTTCGGACACTTGAATTTTGGATTGACAGTCTAAATCCTGATTTCTTGGAGCCAAGTATGGCCAATGCTATGTCTGAGGTTATACTTGCTTTATGGTCTCACTTGAGGCCTCTTCCTTACCCCTGGGGTACAAAAGCTTTGCAGCTGCTTGGAAAGTTAGGTGGTCGAAATAGGCGTTTTCTTAAGGAACCTCTTATGCTCGATTGCAAAGAGAACCCTGAGCATGGCCTTCGTTTGATTCTGACTTTTGAGCCTGAAACACCATTTTTAGTACCTCTGGATCGTTGCATCTATCTAGCCATGGCCGTGGTAATGCAAAAGAGCGGTGGCATGGATGCATTTTACCGGAAGCAGTCACTTATATTTCTTCGTGTATGTTTAACATCTCTTCTGAATCTGCGGGGCAATATACCGGTTGATGGCGTGAGCCCTGGTCAGCTTGGAGCATTGTTAATCTCAACAGTGGACCCTTCTCGACGACGTACAGAGATGTCAGATATGAAGGTCAGTCAGTTTAAACTTCTTAATATAGTGAAGGTTCTTGTACTCATTACTGTGCATTCTTGATTCTTTTCTTAAATTTACAGTGTATATATGTAATAGTAGTTCTCATTGTATTTTCCCTGTATCAAAACTGACTTATCTATTATTATATTGCGCCTGAGACTGGGTAAGGTAGATGGGACTACACATCCTCTTAGATCCGCCCACATGCAGCCGGTGGTTCTGAGCCACTATAAGTTGGAGGGCCCTTTACCAAACTGCCCCCCTGTTTAGCCCTTGGACNCGCCGCTCGCATGCAGGCGGTTCTGATAGGCGTAGTAATCAGTAGATGGTACATATAATGTAGTGTTTGCGTGGAGGGCCTTTGTATCTGCTGAAATGAACTCAGCATATATACTATTTTCTAAGCTTAATGTTTCTTTTCCTATTTTACAGAAATTTCTTATTCTATTGTCTTCTTTATATTGTAAACTTGTTTGGGTGATAGTTAACAATTTCGTCAACAGCTGCCTTTTTAAAAAAATGTAATATTTTTTCCATCACTCCCTAAATAGAACGGAAGGAGTTTCACCAGGTATTTGTTGGACGCATTTGACCTCTTTACAAAACTCCTCTCAAGTTCTTCCCTTAATCAGCTGCTTTTGTATTTTCTTATAAACAATGTCATTAAGTCTAATTTCTATAGTTCAATTCCATGGACAATATTGTAACTGTGAGCAACTCGTCACTGTCTTTTACTGTTAGGATAGCAGAGGATACTTCATATGGAAGTCCAGAGTCAGAGGTGTACATGGAAACCAGGGAAAGAACTGGGAAAATGTTTTGGGGCCGCTATGAGCTCACCTTTGTTGGGCAATAATTTGTGAGCTTGATCAGCACTTTAAACAAGGTTATGTGGTACGGTGACGGCAAAGCACCCTAGCTGCCTCTCAGGATGCTGGAGATATTGGAAGATGAGGGAGAAAGCGAAAGTAAGAGGATGAAAAAGAATAGAAAGGATTGCTGTAAAATTGATGTTGCTCACCTGAACTCCTACTTTGTCTGATTCCCCATGAACCGAGTCATTGTTATGTTAAAGATCCTTGCCACCACCACCCACAAAAAAAAACCACGCACACATAATCAAAAAAAGGAAAAAAAAGACATACCAAGTTGAGCACAATCTGATACCTTTTGGCTGGAACTCGTGACTAGTGACTGCAATGATGAGGTCCTACCATCTCATCCCATGACATGAACTTCCACCTGCATTTTTAATAATTCTTTTACCTGGGACGGACAACTCTATAACTATCCTCTCTCATACGGACATATCTGACACACAAAGTGGCTCTAACTTCGTTACATGGTGTCAACGATCTAAAGTCTTTTACTTCTATTCTTCAAAGAGAAGTGAAATCGTTGTTCTAATTGTTACAAATGATGTCATCAGTAGGTCTTCTAATCATCAAACTGATCCAGTAGGCTTCATAATTTGATTCTTGCATATAGTTGCGGAGAATGAACTTGTTGCTACCAGCGCACGATGGGAACGGTTAACAATAGATTTATCTAGTTGTAGATTGTGATTGCTCTTGTGTTACGCTTCATGAGTCATTGAACTGTATCCCATAGCTGATAGCATACTGATGGAAAAAGGATTGAATTTTAGTGATGGTGAAGGTGAAAGAATACGAACTTAAGAAGCTGGTATTCATGTAACTCTCTCATGACCTCTATTAAATTTTTGTTTGTTAGACAGCTATTACATAATTGTTGAAGCATTTAACCATGTATTGTTGAGAACTGATTTTGTTTAGACCATGACAGTTTTTTCATGTGTTCGAAATGTGTAGGATTGACCCTTACTTGCTTTTCCAATTCATATATTCAGGTTGATTTGGGCGTAAAAACAAAGACACAACTTATGGCGGAGAAATCTGTTTTCAAATCACTCTTGATGACCATTATTGCTGCCAGTGCAGACCCTGAGCTTCAAGATCCAAAAGATGAATTTTTCATCAACGTTTGCCGTCATTTTGCAATGCTCTTCCATGTGGATCATTCTTCGCTCAACTCTTCTACCACAGTTGGGCATCATGTTGGTTCAGTGCTTTCATCAAGTGGTAACATGAACTCTAGAATGAGAAATAGTACTTCGTCTAATCTGAAAGAGCTAGACCCACTTATATTTCTGGATGCATTAGTGGATGTGCTTGCCGATGACAACAGGCTCCATTCTAAGGCTGCTCTAACAGCTTTAAATGTATTTTCAGAAACACTTGTTTTCCTTGCAAGGGTAAAGCTTATGGGTGCATCTAGTTTAAGGTTTGGGCCTGGTACTCCCATGATGGTATCCAGTCCGTCACTGAATCCTGTATATTCACCACCTCCAAGTGTTAAGGTGCCTGTTTTTGAGGAGCTTCTGCCTCGTCTTTTGCATTGTTGTTATGGAAATACTTGGCAAGCTCAAATGGGTGGTGTCATGGGACTTGGGGCCTTAGTTGGCAAAGTTTCTGTTGAGACTCTATGTGATTTCCAAGTAAGTATAGTGCGTGGATTGGTATATGTTCTCAAAAGGCTACCTTTGCATGCGAACAAAGAGCAGGAAGAAACGAGTCAGGTCCTTACACAAGTCCTCCGCGTTGTGAACAATGTTGATGAAGCAAACAATGAGTCTCGACGGAAAAGTTTCCAAGGAGTTGTTGAATTTCTCGCCAGAGAGCTGTTTAATCCAAATGCACCTATTGTTGTGAGGAAGAATGTCCAATCATGCTTGGGGCTTCTTGCTAGCAGGACAGGAAGTGAGGTCTCTGAATTGCTTGAGCCTCTGTATCTACCTCTACTTCAGCCTCTCATAATGCGACCCCTACGTACGAAGAATGTTGAGCAACAGGTATGATAAGTTAACAGGAGTATTATCGGATTTTCCTCAAATCTTTTTGACTATTATCCGTCGGACTATGCAAAATTTTCTCCTTATGCAGGTGGGCACAGTTACTGCTTTAAACTTCTGCCTTGCGTTGAGACCTCCTCTTCTTAAGTTAACTCCAGAGCTTGTCAATTTTCTTCAAGAAGCCTTGCAAATTGCTGAAGCTGATGAAACTGTATGGGTCACGAAGTTAATGAACCCAAAAGTGGTTACAACCTTAAACAAACTTCGGACTGCATGTATTGAATTGCTTTGTACAGCAATGGCCTGGCAAGATCTTAAGACACCAATTCACAGTGAACTGCGTTCTAAAATAATATCAATGTTTTTCAAATCCCTTACTTGCCGGACGCCAGAGATTGTTTCTGTTGCAAAAGAAGGGCTTCGACAGGTTTTTATTTACTTCTGTCACAAAATTTTAACTGATTAAATGTCATTGTTGAGTTGTTTTTTATATCGTTCAGCTTGTTTATTGATTTTTCATCTTTTGGCCAAGTCAGTTTTTAGGTTAAATGTCTCATCTGATATATGTGTGGATAATGTATGTGGCTTCAACTCTTTTGTTTTTTAAGGTTATTCAGCAGCAGAAAATGCCTAAAGATCTTCTTCAGAGCAGCCTGAGGCCTATTTTGGTTAACCTAGCACATACAAAAAGTCTCAACATGCCTTTGTTACAAGGACTGGCCCGTCTGCTTGAACTTCTATCCAACTGGTTCAATGTCACTTTGGGTGTGAAGTTATTAGATCATTTAAAGAAATGGCTGGAGCCGGAAAAGCTTGCTCAAACTCAGAAGGCCTGGAAGACTGGGGATGAACCTAAGGTTGCAGCAGGTCAGTTATCATTTTTATTGTTTATTTTGTTATCTGCTATTGGTTTGATGTTTTTGGCATTTGTTTGACGTTCTTTCCTATTATGGCAGCCATGATCGAACTTTTTCATCTGCTACCTCCAGCAGCTGGGAAGTTTTTAGATGATCTTGTGACGATAATAATTGATTTGGAAGGGGCACTTCCCCCAGGACAATTCTATAGTGAAATTAACAGCCCGTACCGTCCTCCACTTACAAAATTTTTGAATCGCTATGCAACAGATGCTGTAGATTATTTTCTTGCCCGACTTGATCGTCCAAAGTATTTCCGACGGTAAGTGTTGATTTATTAATAAACAACTTTAAGCACCACACAGATGTGATGATTTAAAATTGTCTATCCTAACAACTCTTGTGTCAGTTTTATGTATATAATCTGTTCAGATGCTGGTGTTCCCTTAAGAGAAGAACTTTCAAAGTCACCGCAAAAGATACTTGCTAGTGCTTTTGCACAATTTCTCCCTAAAGCTGAAGGATCTACCTCTCATCCTGGTTCCTCAGTGAACAATGAGGGTGTTATTGGCTCGTTAACTGATAGCTGTCCACCTGCAAGCACGGCTGCGAGTTCTGATGGATATTTTCACGGATTGTATCTCATCTCTACTTTGGTTAAATTGATGCCTGAATGGTTGCTTGGTAACCGTATTGTTTTCGACACCTTATTGCTTGTTTGGAAGTCACCAACAAGAATTTCTCGTTTACAAAATGAGCAGGAACTGAATTTACTTCAAGTGAGTCATCAGTTTATTGATTTTTTTTCCCTATATGTCACTCTTTGAAGTTTTGATGGTGTATTTGGCTACTATAGCAAGGGGTATGGTGACAAATACATTGTTTTTTACTGTATGATATACTGTTTGCAAAATTTCTTCTGGTATTTGGTTACTCCAGGATGATGAACATATCTAGGATTGGCTGCTAGAATCCATTGGCTATAACATCTTACACGTGCATAAAGAAACATATACCCACATACATCGATGCATACACACATGCATGTGTCTGCTGTGAAAATTTTGTCCAAATTCTACCTCTTAGAGAATTTATGCTTTACAGAAGGCTAGGATGGTGTAGAGAAATAGACGAGGCAAAGATATTATTTCATCTCAGCCTAACCTCTCTTAAATAGAGATTAGGAGAATATTATAAAATAGGTATGAAATAAAATCATATTAATCACATCTTAAAATATGTTATTATATCTCACAATATCTACCAAATCTACTAATGCCAATAATATATAACACTCCCACTCCAACTTGAGCATATATACTATATATATCTAACTTGTTACAAATGAGAATAAAACAACTAGTTGCAAAAGCTTTGGTAACATCATCTTTTCTAGGAACACTTGCAGACGTCAGTGCTTTGAAGAAGTCAGTGCTCAGAAAAGTGTGGTCACAACAACCAGAGATCATTGGAGCACAAGCCAAGAGCCAGAATAAAGTCAAACAGTGATCACAAACAAAACCTAATTTCTTTAATAAGTGTATGGTCTGCCAACCAAATATATGAGACCCTCAACATATGAATAAGTCTCATAAACCCATATTGAGGCCGATACAAGCCCTAGGAAGATTAGCCAGTAAAAGCCCTAGGGGGGTCAGCCAGTAGAACCACAACGCGGATCAGCCAATAGGAACCCTAGATACCCTAAGCGGATCAGTCAGCAAAAAGCCCTGATTGATCTAGCGTTCGTTCGATCCCTCGATCTTGATTTTAGCGTCAAGGTGAACTTCAGAAGATTTGATCTGAAAAAGGCTAGATATTGAAGCAATCAGCATAAGATACCGGAGGATTAGTGTTTACAACGAACAGTACAGCATGGGTTTCTGTTCATTGTGAACAGTGCTGAAGTTATTGTTGACAGTGAACTGTACCGCTGTGAACATCAGCAGGAGTTTAGGGTTTTTGATTGAAGTTCAATGAAGATTTTGAAATTGAATGATGTAGAAGCCAAAGACATCTATGCCAAAGATGTTGCCGAAGCCGAAGATGTCATCGAAGACAAAGATGTTGTTGAAACCGCCAACAGGAGAATGAATCCCATGTGAAACCCCCACGATGGCCTCAAGATCTAGAAAGATAGGAGAAGTTTTCTAAGATCAAGTAGGTTCTGTTACCAAATAGGGAAATAGAGAAGGCAAAGATATTATTTCATCTAATTCTAACCTCTCTTAAATATATATTAGGAGAATATTACAAAATATGTTGGAGTTAAAATCAAGTTTAATACAGCGCAAAATATCTCAATATCCAAAGCCAATCATTGAGCTTTTTCTCAGATATTTGTCGCACCGGTTATTTCTCATTGTTTTATATTATAATAATCCTAAGCTGCAATTCTTTGGTTTTTTAGCAAAGTTTCTTTGTGTTGATCTTTCTTGTTGGACTTGCTATTTTATGTTAAGTGGTACTCTTTGTTGAAATTGTTTAGATACTTCTGAGCATGTTCGGTGAAATAGTATTTTCACTATTCTTGTTTGTTCCTTGTGTTCTACATTTCTGATGGATCAATGGAGGAAGCTCCCTCCCCACTGTTTGTGTGCTGACGGGTCTTTTATTTAGTCTAGTTTACATTTCAACCTTTTAAATACTTTGTTTGCGTAACAGTATTCTAAACATTTCATATTTAACAGTATTCTGAACTTTTTAGGAATTCTCTCTCGTTTTTAATTCTCTTAAAGGTAAACAAGTATACATGGTGTCACAGAAAATTGAGTTTTCAGTTTTGTACGTTATACTCTTTGGATATTTAAGTGAACTAATTTTCAAATATTTGCGTGGAAGAAAGATATTTTGTTGATCAGCCTTTCGACTTTTGCAACTAATTTAGTGTACTTTGCCTGTGAGATGCATAAGTCCTTAAGTTTCATTTTGTAGTTCATTTTGACAATAACTGATGCTAAGGATGACACAACATAGAGAGCTTCATGTGATATTTACATTCTTTATAGTTCTTAGAACATTCATGCTTGTCCACCTAACCATCCCATTCAAAAGCTATGGTTATAGTTTCTGTCTAATAATGTATGCCAAGCAAAATGAATACCTACTAGTCTTCCTCTCATAGCCTCCAGATAAAACATGACTTGCCTAAAGGCAAACTGATGCAGATAATAAATGTAAATTGAGTTTTGACGTGGTCTGACGTTCAGACTCTCCAGTCTCCAGCATGTCAGATAACCAAGCTTAATCTTCTGGTTTATGCACTAAGGATGTATACCAAGCAAACTTGACACTTCACTATTAACATCATTCACTAACATACCAAACACTTATTGATTCACATGATCGCAAATACTTGTAGTTTGTTGAGCTTGTATTAAAGGCAAACTGATGCAGATAAATAAGTGTAATTTGAGTTTTGACGTGGTCTGACATTCAAACTTTCCAGACTCCAGCATGTCAGATAACCAAGCATAATCTTCTGGTTTATGCGCTAGGGATGTATACCAAGCAAACTTAACACTTCACTATTGACATCATCAAGAAACATACCGAATGCGTTATTGATTCGTATGTTCGCAAATACTTCTTGTTTGTTGAGCTTGTATATTTTCTTTTCAGTATATATTGTGAAGCTCGAGTGGAAGGCTTTGTTTTCACTGATGTGAGAGCTAAATATTTTGTGTTTTAGGTGCTATGGAGTTAAAGAAAATGAGGCTTGTTAATTAATGTCCTAGTGCTACGCTCTTTATTCTTTATTGGGTGTCTAATTTGGGAAAGAATCAGGTCAACAAAGTGCATTTACAATTTCTCACACTGAAACAATGTGTTAATAGTCATAGAGTCAAGCTTGCGACCATAAATAGTTGAAATTATGTAAAGCAATTGTGAATGTCTAAAAACTTACTTGTTGGCATTTTTTGCCCTTCTGTATAACATTATATCATTCCTACCTATGAACCAACATTTACTCCATTGATGATTTCAGATATAATGTACTATTTCACTCTCTTATGGTGGAAATTTTTCATTGCTCTTTTTTGACTTTTCTTATCATGGATTGTAATAAATTCAATGCGATGTTACATTGAAAGGGCTACTAATGCTCAATAACCTTTCACTTCAAGATGGTCAATTGTTGGCCAAATTATTCTACCTTGTGACTTATTGTCATATTCTTTGAAATGTGCAGGTAAAGGAAAGTAAATGGCTTGTCAAATGTTTTCTAAATTATTTAAGACATGACAAATCAGAAGTTGGCGCTCTCTTCGAAATGTTATCTATTTTCTTATTTCATAGCCGTATCGACTATACTTTCTTGAAGGAATTTTATATCATTGAGGTACATTTTTTATCCTCCTGATTTATATGTCGTGTTATGTATGTTTCACTCTTTTGCACCATTTATTTCCTGCAATGATGTTTACTGCTCATTTGCAATCCAGGTGGCTGAAGGTTATGCTCCTAACTTGAAGAAGATAATTCTTCTACACTTCCTTAATGTCTTCCAGTCAAAGCAATTTGGACAAGATCACTTGGTTGTCGCTATGCAAATTCTCATCCTTCCTATGTTGGCACACACCTTTCAGAATGGTCAAAGCTGGGAAGTTGTTGATCCTTCTATAATCAAAACAATTGTTGACAAGCTTCTCGATCCTCCTGAAGAGGTGGTCCATTAAAGTGTTAGAATGGCTATATGTTTCATAATATTGATTTCCAAACTGCCTAATTTTCATTGACTATTTGCAACCATTGAGGCTGATTTTAGACTGCTGTCTCCTTTGTAGGTGAGTGCTGAATATGATGAGCCATTGAGAATTGAACTCTTGCAACTAGCCACATTACTTTTGAAGTATCTACAGAGTGATCTTGTTCATCACCGCAAAGAGCTCATAAAATTTGGTTGGAATCATCTAAAGCGTGAAGATAATTCTAGCAAACAGTGGGCTTTTGTCAATGTTTGCCACTTTTTAGAGGCATATCAAGCTCCTGAGAAGATAATTCTCCAGGTATTTCACGAGTAATTTGGCTTAAACGTTTATTTGTTTGGGTCCTTGTGGTAGCGTTTGGATCATGATGTACCAAGGAACTTTAGTGATGTTGTTCCTGCAATATGTTTTGCTGACCTAAATTCATTAGGAACATGGTTATGTTTAAAATTCTTTTTGTGTAGATGTATCTCATTTCATCTTACCCTTTAGTAAGATTTTAATTCTTCTTAATTGTCATGGATTCTAATTGTGTTTGGTTAATGGAAAGTGGAAACATGTTAAAATACACATTGAGAAGTTCTGAAGATGAGCGATGCTTTAGATTTGGGAACTAACAGGAGATGCTGACGTATATGTACATTGCTGTAATAAAATTTTGTTAAATTAGAGAAACCGGAAGTTCCAGCAAAAATATATGATGAAAATCATGAAAACTCATTTGGCATCACACACATATCTGGAACATTCTCAGTGTGTTATCTGATTGCATGGTGCAGTGGCTGGGTGCCATGACCTAGGTGCTATTGGTTTGGCATGCAGAGAGCATATTTCTAGGATACCACCTAGATTGGTGGCAAGCAATGGATGCAATTTTTTAAATTTTAAAAAAAATTGTATATTGAGGTTTTCGTATGAGGAAGTTTGCAGGTTGAATTATTCAGTGCTGTATATTGAGGTTTTCATATGAGGAAGTTTGCAGATTGAATTATTCATTCTTTCATTCTCTTTTAAAACTAGAACCATATTATCACTAGGTACTTTATGAGTATCATCAGCATGCCTGTTAACAACCCCATTAGTTTTTGTTGTCTTGACTCTTTCTGAATTGTATATGGAACTTTTGAAAAATTAAATTGTGGTTCTAGATTCTACAAACAAGTTTTAGGAGTGGATCTTTTGGTGTCAATCTAGACCAGACTTGTTGGTTTTTTAACCCTTCTTCTATGCACGAAACAAAAGAATGCAAATCTCCACCAAAAAAAAGGCTTGCATATGCAGAGATTAATTATAAGAGAATTCCATTTGGGTTGACATGAATTTTTGTATAAGTGAATCTTTATTTTCTTGTGTCAATATGGATCTGACCAGTCAATATTTTCTTTTGCAGGTTTTCATTGCTCTTTTGAGGACATGCCAACCAGAAAATAAAATGCTGGTCAAGCAAGCTCTTGATATACTAATGCCTGCTCTGCCACGGAGGTTACCTCCAGGAGATACTCGAGTGCCGATATGGATCCGTTATACTAAAAAAATCCTTGTTGAAGAAGGCCATTCGATTCCTAATATGATCCATATTTTTCAGCTCATTGTGAGACATTCTGAGCTATTTTACAGTTGCAGAGCACAGTTTGTTCCTCAAATGGTTAACTCTCTAAGTCGGTTAGGGTTGCCATACAATACGACTGCTGAAAACAGGCGACTTGCTATTGAACTTGCTGGGTTGGTGGTTGCCTGGGAAAGGCAAAGACAAAATGAAATGAAAGTTGTGCCAGATACAGAGGGCCATGCTCAGTCTAGTGATGTATTTAATCCTAGTTCTCTTTCTGTTGATTCAAAGCGGCCATCAGATTCATCTGCATTTTCTGATGATCTGAGTAAGCGTGTGAAGGTTGAACCTGGGCTGCAATCTCTTTGTGTAATGTCACCATCTGGATCATCAATCCCTAATATTGAAACACCTGGTTCTGTTAGTCAAGCTGATGAGGAGTATAAGCCTAATGCTGCAATGGAGGAGATGATTATTACTTTTCTTATCAGGGTGAGATTTTTTGTCTGATTTCCTATAGTAATTAACATTTCCAAGACGTTAATTGAGATTGACAGCTCAGTACTTGTTGCATTCTCTTTCTTGTATTATTGACATTTCAAATACATTGATCTTGAAAGATAAGATAGGTAGTCAATGTGGTTATTTGAGTTTGTCTGTGTTACTAATTTCTTGCTAACCGCACTTGCGGAGAAGCTGGAACGCTTGCGATTTAAAATGTTAATACATACACAGAGTATATCAAAATCTTTTATATTAACTGGAAGTGACTTTAGACCTTGAGTCTGGTTGTGTGATTCTTCATAGTAATTAATCACACCATGTTTGATTTTCTTATGGGATAAAAGTGGAAAGATGGATAAAGGAGTTTTGTAGTATTTGATTTGGGTGAAAGAGGTAAAACATGACAGTGATGGATGCTATGTAGACCTAGCAGCTGAAAGCAAAAGTTTTTTCATGATTGAGATTTTGATGTGTTGAAGTAAAATGAGGCTCCAACAAAAAATAGCAGCTAGATATTTATGTGATTGCTGGAATCTATTGCTGCAAGGTTCAATAGATCATTTTTGTATAGGATTATGGTTAAGCATGACTAGGCATGCTAGATATTTCGGTTTGAATGAAGTGTAAACTTCTTAATTAATGAAGTGCTCTCTTTACAACTGCAGCCACAATGCCATATATGTCATTTGGGTTTTATTATAAATTTTGTGATTAATTATGTTGCATTCATGCCTACAACTTAGATCTTCAGTGGGAAACCCTCTTTGCCTATTGCTAATTTTCCAGATAAATGCACCAAGTTCAGAGTGTTATATAACAAAGTTTGACCAATGTGTAGAGGAGCCCTCTCAATTTGGCTTGTAATTGATTATGGAAGAGGTGGGGTGGGGAAATGGATGATCATGTAACAGAGTAGGAAGATAGGAGTACTTATCCAGCGTATCGATGTCCAAAATGAGAACTGTTATTGAGTTATTATTGTTGGCTAGCATATTTTGCACATGTGCCTAAAGCATGAACAATATACAGGTTAAGAGACTCAAATGTATATCGAATTAGCTTTCAAATGATGACATTCCACTTTAGATCTTGTACTTTGATGTCTGAGAATCCTTTGGCTTGGAGTGCATACTGAAATCATTATACTGATTCCATAAAGCGATTTAAAGGATGCTTTACTCCATACTTTGAGGGTGTATTCACTCTTTGGTTTTAATAGAGTCAGAACATAATTAAGATACTTGCTCCAGATGAGGAATGCTAGAGGATGTAAGTGGGGTAGAAGAAGTATAGCATGCTATACTACGGGTGTCTATTTTGTTTTGGTTGTCTATAATTCTGTGCATGATAGATCAATAGCACATGAATAGCTTTAATATTGAGGGAAGTTGCTGATGTAGATACTTCCTTGACTTTGCCTCATGATCAGTGACAGACAGACAGATTTTACATGCTTATCAGTCAACTGCAGTATTATGTGATTTATACTCTCTAGTTTCTGTTAACTACAAGTGCTATTTGATGATCATGTGCATATATGATTCCATATCACAGGTATATAGGACAGCTTCAAGATCACAAGTTCACAGCATTAATTTGCCATTTTCTTCAAAGCACTTGGCCAAATGTTTTTTTTATCTTTTCTTTTTCTATTTATTAATAAAAATACATTTTTTCGTTGGGTGAGCAGGTTGCATTGGTGATGGAACCCAAGGATAAGGAAGCAAGCTCTATGTACAAGCAAGCTCTGGAGCTACTTACGCAGGCTTTGGAGGTCTGGCCGAATGCCAATGTTAAGTTCAACTATCTAGAAAAATTGCTTGGTAATATTCAGCCTTCTCAGTCAAAAGATCCTGCAACAGCTCTGGCACAGGGTCTTGATGTCATGAACAAGGTCTTAGAGAAACAACCTCGACTGTTCATCAGGAACAACATTAATCACATTTCACAAGTATGTTTTTTTAATTATCTTGTTGATGAAAACTGCATGTCTATTGTTTTAATTATATTGTTGAATATCGTTTTACAGATACTAGAGCCTTGTTTCAACAGTAAGATGTTAGATGCTGGAAAATCTCTTTGCTCCTTACTGAAGATGGTTTTTGCTGCTTTTCCCCTTGAATCAACTAGCACACCCCCTGATGTGAAACTGCTGTATCAAAAGGTTGTAGAACTGATACAGAAACATCTTGCTGCCGTTACTGCTCCTCAGATATCGCTTGAAGCTAGTTCTGCCAATTCGATGATAAGTTTTGCAGTCTATATTCTTAAAACCCTGACAGAAGTTCAGAAGAATTTCATTGACCCTTTTGTCGGCCCATTGGTTCGTGTCCTCCAACGCTTAGCACGTGATATGGGGTCATCTGCTGGTTCTCATGTAAGACAGGTGTGTCATCTTTGATGTAGCTCCATCCCGTACTTTAATTAGGAAACTTAAAATTTGAATGTAGTAGTTTTCTTATGTTAAATCCCACATTCTGATGTTGTGCTTGGTTTATTTCTAGAGATTCTACACGGTTCTTACAAGTAGATTTTTTTTCCATATATTTCGGTTGCTTTGCTTAATATTTCGTTAAGCTAGTTTTTGCGTTTGGAGAAGTCAACATGAGATTTTGATGTTTGTTATATTAATCTCTAACAATATATGGCGTTTCTATACACTCTAATCACGTTTGTTGGAGACAACAGTGTATGAGTTTCGGTGTGCCTATATAGATAGGTCATAAGGTTTTTCTTTTGTTCCTTGGTGCATCAATTTCTATTATATCTTCATGTTGTAGTGCGTCTGTTTATCGATTCTTACATTGTGTTTCTTTCATATCTGCTATTATGTTCCCTAACTAGTATTATGAAAGTTGTACTCTTCTGTTGTCTTTTCAACACAAATTCTGAAGCAACTGCAACATTCAGATGATGCTGTATTTCATGCTTTTCTTTTAAAAAGAATTGGAGGCCAAGAACAAAAAACATAGAGGGAGCTCTCTATCCTCTCGCGCTTTGATGGGTGGGGCTCACTAGTTTTTTTTAGGGTGGTCAGTATGAGAATTGATGAATGTATAAAAATATCATTCCTCACTAAATACCTAGAACCTATTGGCTTTTTTTATTACTTCTCTTTGGATTCCCAGACAGTGGGTTTATAACATGTTTTAATAAATTGGAGAGGAAACCATAGTTTTAAGAATTTATTACTTTGAAATTGGCTTTTTGTTGGATCCTATAATTCCTAAACCTCAACCAACAACGACAGCAAGTTGAGAAATAAATATGATAGACAATCCTTGTTTGGCCCCAACCTTACATCTATATCAACCCCAGCAAATCCATTTTCCATTGGTGCGATTGAATTTAATTCAAATTTAAAGCTTTTATAAAAACTGAATGTTTTACAGCCAGCTGTCAGCGAGATTACTGCCTCAGTGAATCAGTACCAAATTCCTAGCAGATTCAACAAGCAAGATGGGCTTGCTATACAACCTTGAAGAACAGTGGATGGATTCAATGGTTGATTAATTAACCTTTTAGATGTAGTATAATATTGTGAACAATGAGTAAAACACGAGGTACTCCTCTTTATGGAAAGAATCTAGATGGAGAGAAACAGTATATAACATACACTATGAGAGTAAGAGCTAAAGCAGTCCACTTGTATCGCTTTCACTTCATCAAATGAATATTATCATTTCTTGTTTTGGGGTATATATTCACCCAAAACATCCTTACAACTGGGCTATGTGAATCCAATACTGTCATTCTGTTTTAACTATATTAATCGTCAGTATATCTGTAATTCTGTATATGCAGCTGTTCAAGTTCACCAGAAATTCATAATCCATTTCCTTATCTTATGCTTGTTTAGTTGATTTAGACATTGGCAGCACGGTAACTTTTTGACTCTTCTGTAAAAAATATTTTTTTTTTAACTTTAAAATGGACATATATTCCATTAAATACAAATACTAGTGAAGTACGTTACAGAAATCCATTGAGGTCTTGTCTGTCCTGTGTGTCCTGGTAATTGTTGGAGATAGGCCTCATTCTTCTACTAAAACTGTTCTATCATGCTCTTGGTGTTCATTTTATTTATTTTGCAATTTTGCCAGAGATCAGACTTGGATTCCTCAGTCAACTCACGTGCAGCTAGCGAGTCTGGTTCAGTCATCTCTAATCTGAAATGCATCTTAAATTTGATCACAGAAAGGGTCATGCATTTTGGCGATTGCAAACGATTGATAGCCCAAATACTGCATGCTTTGCTTTCTGAAAAAGGCACTGATTCCAGTGTCCTTTTATGCATACTTGATGCTGTAAAGGTTTGGATTGAGAATGAATTCACACATGCTTCATCTGGTCTTTCAACTGCTGCTCTCACCCCAAAAGAAATGGTATCGTATCTTCAGAAGCTGTCATTAGTTGATAGAAGTAACTTCACTCCAGCAGCGTTAGAAGAATGGGACAGGAAATATTTACAGCTTCTTTATGGAATTTGTGCGGATTCTAGCAAGTAAGAAGTTTATGTAACTAGTTATGGTTGCTGGAGACATTTTTTTTCCTTTTCCTTTTGGCCTAATGATTTAAGCTGTTGGCAGATACCCCTTGTCTGTTCGCCAAGAAGTGTTCCAGAAGGTTGAGAGGCAATTCATGCTTGGGCTGAGAGCAAAGGATCCAGAAACTAGACGCCGGTTCTTCTCACTCTATCATGATTCCCTTGGAAGAACGCTATTCATGAGGCTTCAATACATCATCCAAATTCAGGACTGGGAATCTGTTAGTGATGTTTTCTGGCTGACACAGGGACTTGATCTTCTGTTGGCTATCTTGGTAGAGGATGAACAGATCAATCTTGCACCTAATTCTGCACGTGTACCGCCACTAATGGTTTCAGGACCAATCCCTGAGCATCCTGCTGTCCATCCACAAGTGTCTGATGCTCCAGAAAATTCTGAGGGCAATCCTCTTACATTTGATTTCCTCATAGGTAGACATGCCCAATTTTTGAATGAGATGACCAAACTTCAGGTAAGTTTAAGCCCCGTGCTACTCTGTGATGAGATCATGACTTGTGTTGTTTTAACTGTTTTCCCCTTTGATATTTTGCCGCTTGCTAGTTCATCTTTTCTGTTCTTTTCTCTATTGGTGGGTGTATGATTGGCACGCTATACTTATATTACTATTTCTGATTTTTAGGTGGCCGACCTTGTGATTCCTTTGAGGGATTTGGCATATGCTGATTCTAATGTTGCATACCATTTGTGGGTGTTAGTCTTCCCTATTGTCTGGGTTACTCTACATAAAGAAGAACAAGTTGCGTTGGCAAAGCCAATGATAGCACTTCTGTCAAAAGATTACCACAAAAAGCAACAGGGTTCCCGACCTAATGTTGTGCAAGCACTTCTTGAAGGTCTTCATTTGAGCCACCCACAACCTCGAATGCCCAGTGAGCTCATCAAATATATTGGTAAAACTTACAATGCATGGCATATTTCATTAGCTTTGCTAGAGAGCCATGTCATGCTGTTCATGAATGAAGCAAAATGTTCTGAGTCACTAGCTGAGCTTTATCGTCTCCTTAATGAGGAAGATATGCGGTGTGGGTTGTGGAAGAAAAGGTCAATTACTGCAGAAACAAGAGCTGGTCTATCACTCGTTCAGCATGGATATTGGCAACGTGCGCAAAACCTCTTCTATCAGGCAATGGTCAAAGCTACACAAGGGACTTACAACAATACTGTTCCTAAGGCTGAAATGTGCCTTTGGGAAGAAAAGTGGATTCATTGTGCTAGCCAATTAAGTCAGTGGGATGCCTTGGCTGATTTTGGCAAGAGTGTGGAGAATTATGACATTCTTCTTGACTCTCTTTGGAAGGTCCCTGATTGGCAATACATGAAAGACAATGTAATTCCAAAGGCTCAGGTGGAAGAGACAACAAAGCTTCGTCTAGTTCAAGCTTTTTTCGCTCTTCATGACAGAAATGCCAATGGTATTGGTGAAGCTGAAAATATTGTGGCGAAAGGTGTTGAGTTGGCATTGGAACAGTGGTGGCAATTACCAGAGATGTCTGTTTTTTCTCGAACACCTCTTCTCCAGCAGTTTCAGCAACTAGTTGAGGTCCAAGAGTCGGCTAGAATTCTTCTGGACATTTCCAATGGGAATAAGCAAACCTCTGGAAGTACTAGTGCCGGCGTTCATAATGGGTATGCTGAACTCAAGGATATTTTGGAGACATGGAGGCTCAGAACTCCAAATGAATGGGATGATTTGTCTGTTTGGTATGATTTGCTTCAATGGCGGAATGAGATGTATAATGCCGTCATAGATGCATTCAAGGACCATGCTTCAACAAATCCTCAACTTCACCATCTTGGATATCGAGACAAAGCTTGGAATGTCAATAAGTTGGCTCACATTGCTCGTAAGCAAGGCCTCAATGAAGTTTGTGTGACAATACTTGACAAAATGTATGGTCATTCTACTATGGACGTTCAGGTAACTGTTACATAAATAGTGTCAAATCTTTTGTTTGCTTTAGACATTTATTAAGACTTTTGTTTCTTGACGTCTCATCTGTTCCTGTCTACTGTAGGAAGCATTTGTAAAAATAAGGGAACAGGCTAAAGCTTATTTGGAAATGAAAGGTGAACTGACTAGTGGTCTAAATTTGATAAACAGTACAAATCTTGAGTATTTTCCTGTGAAGCATAAAGCGGAAATATTTCGCCTCAGAGGTGACTTTTTGTTGAAGATGAATGATTGTGAGAATTCTAATCTTGCATATTCCCATGCCATAACTCTTTTTAAGCATCTTCCCAAAGGATGGATAAGCTGGGGAAACTATTGTGACATGGTATGTCAAGTTCTGGCCATTGTTTTATTTATTTTCCCCTGCATGTTGTTTGAGAATTTAATCAATGACTTTTGTATTCACAGATCTATAAAGAAACTCGTGAGGAAATATGGCTCGAGTATGCTGTCAATTGCTTCTTTCAAGGCATTAAATACGGCGTCTCGAACTCCAGGAGTCATTTAGCTCGGGTTCTCTACCTTCTTAGCTTTGATACACCAAATGAACCTGTGGGAAAATCATTTGATAAATATCTGGACCAGTTACCTCACTGGGTTTGGCTTTCTTATATACCTCAGCTTCTTCTCTCTTTGCAAAGAAATGAAGCACCTCACTGCAAGCTAGTTCTCTTTAAAATAGCTACGGTTTATCCACAGGTATTTATTGGCGCATTTTGGATGTCAAAATGATGTATGTAATATTTTCAACACCCATTTATGTACTTAGCGCTTTTGTTGTAGGCCTTATATTACTGGCTGCGAACGTATTTAATGGAGCGTCGAGATGTTGCTAATAAGTCTGAACTTGGGAGAAATATGGCACTGGTTCAACAGCGTATGCAGCAAGCTGTTTCAGGGTCTAGTGCTGGTTCACATAACATGCCTGATGGAAATGCACGAGCACCCAATCATGTTGGGAATAATTTAACTTCTGAAAGCCAGATTCATCAAGGTTCCCAACCTGGTAGTGTCAGTGGTTCTCATGATGGTGGAAGTACTCAAGGACAAGAACCGGAAAAGCCTTCTATGATAGATGGCAGTGGTAATGCCGGACAAGACCAGCCTCCACAGAGCTCAACTGTGACAGATGGTGGCCCAATGCCACTGAGGCGTAATAGCAACCTTGGTTGGGTAGCTTCTGCTGCTAGTGCGTTTGATGCTGCAAAGGATATAATGGAGGCTCTTAGAAACAAGCATCCTAATTTGGCTGGTGAACTTGAGGTAAAACTGGCAGTTTAGATAAATTTTAGTCTTCCCAATTTAAATGACTGCTTGACTCAGCTATGGGAGTTTAAGGTTTTTTATTTATTTATAATGATGTCTGTATAGTATATGACCTTCCATTTGGTAAGTGAATTTTCTGCCATGCAATTAAGACATAATGAATTTATATAATATAGTTTGCAAAGAGCTGAAGAAACTAAATTCAGAATAATACAAAGAAATTCATAGTAAAAGACTGAGGACGGAGCAAGGAACCACAAAAGATGGTAGATTCTTTGCAAACTTAATGGTACATAATGGCAATGGAAGGGTATTATTACATGGATGAATAACAATGCAGTTAGAGGAGGATTATTTCTTTTAGTATCTTGCACGGTTGCACCTTATGTGTAAGGTTCAAACAAGTTTATATTTTCGTTTCCTAGGCATCTATGTTTTGACTACTAGCGTAGCAGGATGAAAAAAATAGCATTGAAAGTAATTGAAAGCAATAGTTATTAAAAGTTTGATCCTTTCTTCACATTATATTATTCATGCATCCCAACAGCAGTCTGCACATTGCATATGGTAACTAAAGTTAAAAAACAACATCAACAAAAATTTAACCTAAGACACACACACAAACACATTTCTGCTTCTGTAATTGAAAGCAATAGTTATTAAAAGTTTGATCCTTTCTTCACATTATATTATTCATGCATCCCAACAGCAGTCTGCACATTGCATATGGTAACTAAAGTTAAAAAACAACATCAACAAAAATTTAACCTAAGACACACACACAAACACATTTCTGCTTCTG